TTACTTAATAACGACAGTTTATAGGCATTATATTAAATCCGATATTACAGTAAGCCCTTTGTTTAGAACGAAATAGTTACCTTCAGAGAAGAGTATTGACATTTGTCGACGATTTCAAATGATAACCATTAATAAAAATTTACATTACATTAATCAGTTATTGTGAAATCAAGATATTAATAATATTTGCTTTTTGGTCTATTTAAATACTATTTTTCAAATTTACCATACACCCAATAAGCCGACTCACTCGATATTAAAATGTTCAATTTTTGATTCAGTATTACTATTGATCTTGTATCTGGAACGAACTGATTTATTTCAGGGAAGTACACTGTCACTTGTTGACGACTTTGAGTGATGATGATAATAATAAGCACGAAAGTACGATTTTCTCTAGCAATGGCAAGTATGTTGCTCCATGTCATGTGTTAAAACTGTATTCGATCGTTACACAATAAATGATATTCCGGTTTTAATACTAGATCGTTCCAAGTGAATCACAATATATTTTCCTAGGAATCAAGTGGACATTCCATTAGACGTTTACATAATTATGTTTTTAATTGATTGTAGAGGCAAAGAGACAGAGGGCAGATTTAACGTATTTCACATCCTTAAAAATTCTATTCTCATTTCAATGCTCACTTTTATTAAAATGTTCGCTTTTAACCACGCATTTTCGCTAGTCACTTTTTGAATGGATACCATATTTGTTATATGCACTTTTATGCACTTTAATGCACTTTAATGCACTTAGTTCATAGTAGTTAACCATATTATGTGTATAACTACAGAATTCACTCTAAGTTATCGGATTATTGGAGTGATACAAGGTAGAGAGAAGGGCTCAAGAATAGTAAGGATAGATTATTTGAAATGACGCGATTTATCAAATTGTTTGGAATGAATATTAATGACAGATTTGTTAAAATTATGTTACATAGGACTTCAGAGAAGGATATGATCAAAGGTGGTATCATTTTGAAGTTCATGATTATATTCAGAATATACGCTGCGATAGTCATAAGTCTTTTGATTAACATAAATACTTGGTGTATGAATAATAATAAGAAAGATTAGTTCAGCGAAGAGTTCTCTTTTCGGCGAATTTATTTTCAAAGCTGTACAATCGCAAATATATATACTTATTTTTACAGGATGATAATGATACTGATAATAGACTTCTGATTGACATGGTGACAGTAAGATTATTATCATCCTGTAAAATAAGTACATCTCTTTGTGATTGTACAGCTTCGAAAATGAATTCGCCGAAAAGAGGAGAACTCTTCGCTGAACTAATCTTTCTTATTTAATGCCTTAATGGGTGTATTCCCTTTACTATGAATAATAACACGATATGTATTTTCTAACGGTCGGATTTCATATCTTTGCCCTGAAAGGTAATATTGAACAGTTTATTCACTAGAGGTCAGTTTACTGTTTCAAATCACTTTCGTATTTAATGTTAGGTAAGTATAAGTGTTACGATGTGCTACCACTAATACATTATATTGCACATCGATTTTTATTTTTGTTCATTTTATTTATTTTGATGATACCATATGGATAACCCTTTCATTATTTTTTTGTTTTGTTAAACAGATTGCTCAGTATTTAAAATTATGAATTATCATGATGTTAGCATACTTCTGTTTAAAGTGACTGCAAAGTGTTGAGTTTGTAGTGTTAGTCATTAGTTTTAGCCCATAATATATCTTATATTCTAGTTTTCGGACATTCCATTTTATTCATTCTACTTGAGTCATATTTTGACCTTGTCAATTATTCGCTTGTCAGTCTTGATTGTTTTTATATGAGCGTATATATGTGTACACTTCATATCCCATGACTCATCACATGTTTGTAGTTTATTTTTGTCTGACTATAAATATTGAGTAACGCTCGACTAAAATGGAGTTGGCTTCCCAGCCATCTTCCATACGTGCCATTTTGCTTTGCTGTGTTTTATTCGCTTCATATACAAAATATATGTATTCGCAAATCAATTCTCGTTATTCGACTTATTTAATTCCGTTATTGGATAATGCGATTTAAGTCGACGATTACATACGAGAATAGGTGATAACAAACATTTATACGATCTAAATGGAGTCAGATCAAACGGGCCACCAAAAGTTATTCGAAGTTCTATGTTGCTAAAAAAGCTATATTTAAAATGAATATAAATGGGTGATTCCCATTTCTACGAACATTGCACACTGTTTTCTATTTGGATCGTTAACACTGTGAGGTCTGCCGCAGTGGTATAGCGGATTATATATATATATATATATATATATATATATATATATATATATATATATATATATATATATACCAGTTATCCATATGTAATGCAGAACCTAGCGTTCATTTATACTAGTTAGAATCGTCAAATGAGGAAATATGAAATGGTCAAGATATATCCAAGAGTAGTAGTAGTAACAGTTCCATTGTCGTGGGGAATAATAAATCTTGACTAAATGATCTCAAAATAAAGAATGTATTTCTAGAATGGAAATCAGGTCATTGTTAATGATACAGATCAGTACCTAAGAAAACGGTCAATAGTGAATTCACCTACATTGTTTTGACTGGTAACTCCGCCTCTAGCTCTTCAAAAGCTACTCGCTGTCCCAACCCCAGGTAAAGCAAGAAGGTCGGGCATAGACTCGGCAACCCTATCTCGTAGAAACTAACATTGTCAAAATATGACAATGGTTAGAAAACAATTCAAACCGCATAAATTCTGTCCTCTGAGTTGAAGGTTCGTCATTCAGAAGAATTATGATATCTCATGGTGAAAATCGGCATTTCTCAGAATTCACGGGGCCGATGCCACTTTTAACACCCCGAGCAACAATTAATATTGTGACATGAAATGTTCGGACAATGTGGCAGATCGGGAGGACCAGTCATATAATTACGGAAATGGGGAGATAGGACTTGGTGGTTCTCAGAATCATTGAAACTCATTGAATTTCAGCTGGACAGAACATATAAGATTCGAGAAGAATGTTGCTGTACTCCACTCACGAATAAGAAAATGCTCCATACACTCAGAGATTTCCTCTCTTGCTGTCCAAAGAAGCACGAAACGCACTCATAGGATGGGAATGTCGTGAATCCAGGGTCATCAATGCATCTCTCAAAACAAAGAAGGAGGTAATCAGAATGAAGGTTATCCAGTACTATGCACCCACCAATGATGGCGATGACGACAATAAATGTCACTTCAATGGGAGTCTGTAATCTATCATAGCGAAGTGCTTAGGAAGGTATCTGACCGTCCTGATTGGAGACCTTAACGCCAAAGTCGGAATGGAGATTACCGGATATGAAGATATCATGAGACGACACGGACTAGGAGAGAGAAATAAAAACGGTGAAAGATTTGCAAACCTATCTGCATTCAACAAACTGGTTGTAGGCAGCACTATATTCCCACACAATTGCACACACAAAGCTACATAGATCTCGTGGGTCACATTTCAGAGGACTGGATCGATAGTATTTGCACCACCAAGAAATTCAGCAGATCAGTGGAAGACGTGAGAACAGTGAAACGAGTTGACATAGCTTCAGATCACCACGAACTGATGGTTTCCAAGATGGAACTGAAGCTAAAGAAGCACTGGACAACTGGAGATACATCATTACGAAACTTTAATGCAGACTTCCCACGAGATACTGACAAACTCTATGAATTCAAGATAACTGTCAACAACAGGTTCCAAGCCTTACAGGATCTACTGCAAGAAGAACAAACTACTATGAAGAACAACCGGAAATGAATCAAAGAAGCACTAACTTCAACGTGTCAGAGATGGTGGTACGCACGAGGCATCATCATAAGGAATAAGTCTCTATTGAATTCCCATACACACGAACAAATGCAAATGAAGACAACTAGCCCTGCATCAGTGGGCCTCAACATACACAAAAGAAAAAGCAGGATCCTCAAGTACAACATAGAGAACACCAACCCAATCAAACTTGATGGTGAAGCTTCTATCTGAAGAAGAAATTCGGAAAAGACGTTGGAAGTATAAAGGACATACTGCGGTGAATACATTACTTTCTATATGATTTATTTACAGTTACATTTATACTGTCACATTCATACAAATTGAACTGGATTATATTTAGTATAATAATTCATTAACTTACTGTTTGAACATATATTAACAATATTCTAGAATGAAGCTCCTATTATGATTCTTAAAATGTGAATAGATATTACTCACGATTGGGAAAAATTAATTTCATCTATCATTCGTACTGCAATCGACAATCAGGAAGACAGTATAAAGGTAATTGAGTAAGTAATCAGATAAAAAACACGTTATATAATGGAATACACTAGCTTATTATAATTAGTTGAGTAGGCCATGGAGATTAGTTTAATGTTCAGTTAGTTCTTATCAAAGGATGACATAAATTGAGGAAACACTAGAAATTAAAGAACACTAGACAACCAAAGAAATCCTCACCAATGAACATACATGTCCTAATCCGAAATCGAATCTAGCTGTGTCAGTCTCACTTTCCAAACGGTAAACGTAATAGAAGAAAGTAGACAGTTGTACGACTGTACAGCGAATTAAATGAAGTTGAAATTTTACCCTATATGATTATAGCTCAATGGTCTGTAAGCAATGTCTGACTCTAGATCCATCAAAGTTTGACCCGTGAAGGAGTGATGAGTGTTAACTACTACAGTGATTCACATAAAACGAAATAGCAGTACAGTGTATTTTAAAACTAACGATTAATGAACTTGAGAATTTAAATATTTTATACTTTACCATATATACCCTACATAGACATTAGAGTAAACATAATTGTGTTAGCAAATTGTGTTACCAAACTGTAAAACAAATATAAAAGAGTTACAAATAATCTTTTTAACAAATAAATAAATATCAGAAGGGGATTTGTGGAGATTGTAGTAATTTCAATAGTTGAAAACATGAGTCAATTGATATTGTTGTATCTCACAACAGATCCGGTTGAACGCCACTGGTCACTGCTTCTCACTAGAACTCCAGAACATACATCTTGAAGTCAGTCAGTAGTGAGTATATCTTGATTAGTAATCTCGAAATCTCCACACAATCCCCCTTCTGATATATTACAAATATATGAATGAATGTTCGTTTAAACAAATAATAGAAACAATGAAAACTTTCAATTATGATTTATTATTAATGAATTAATTAATTATAACATAACTTATCCAATCGTAATGATTTCCATAAATTAATTAGTAAATGTGAAGTTCCTTTAAAATGTGCTGTAATAAATTTTTGTCTAAAATCAATAATATTCTTTGAAAATAATATATTCTCTATATGTATAATTGATATATTTAATTTATCTAATACAATACCAATTAATACATCATCAAATGGAAATAATTCAATAGAATATAATAATTGATTTAATTGATTAATTAATGATCTACTAATGATAATTGTACCACCAAGTGGATAATTTGGATAATAATCAAATGGATAAATGAATTTTGATATATACCATTTACTATTGATTTCACGAAATGGTATACCATTTTTAATTACATAACCACTAATATATGTTGAATAGTCTATATGATTAATATTTAATAATAATTTAATTAAATGAATAGGATTTACAATAAAATCTTCATCAATAATTATAATAAATTTTGTATTTAAACAATGTAATGTAGCATATTCAATGGTACCAATTAATTTTCTAGTTAAATTATAATAATTTTCAATAAAATTAAATTGGATTATATCATTATACTGTTTATGTTCTATCAATAATTTCGATTGTATTGTTGAATTAAACCAATGAGTGAGATTTTCTCTACCTAATGTAAAATAAATATAAGCATAAATACCATAATGGATATAACATTTTTTATTAGCCCATGTATTTCTTAATGTTTGACGTAATTCAAATTTATTTATTGTTGATTTAATAAATATAATAATATGTGTTAAATTATTATTATTATTCATTTTTATATCACAATGATTTAATGGTGCCAATATAGTTTCAATAGAATTTCTATTGAATGTTTTAAAATAATCATAATAATTTTTATGATTGAATTTATCAATTAAAGTAGTATGATTAGATATATTTAAAAATTTTTCATTGACTTGATACCGGATTGGAAATTCTTCAATATTATGTAAAAAAATGATAGTTACTATGATCATATTAAAAAGGAATATCATGATACATAAGTGAAAAATATTTTTAGAAAAATAATATTGAATAATGAATTTAATATTTTTGATTTGATGAATTGAGTTTAATAATTGATTAATAATAATAATGAAGATATTCATAGTTTGAATGGATCAATACATTCAATTGATTGTATTGTATATAATCTGTAAATAGAAAATAAATTGAAAAGAAAACAACGAGTAACCTGTATTTCTTTTCCTTTTTTTCTGTTTTTGCAATGTATGGTTGTAATGAATTGAAATTTATATAAAAGTATTTGAGGCCAAGTATATCAAATGATTTATTAATTATGATATTGTATATAACATCAAAAGCATAAAATACTGGTCGCTAGTATATTATTTGTTAAAGTTGACTAAGTTCATTATACATTAATATGGAACTAATATTTACAAAGATTTAATTCATTATTGAGTCTCTAGTAAAACTATCTCAATGGTACAAAATCTCTGAATCATTTCTATTAAAGAAAATAAACATCACAATGTCATAGGTATCATTATTCACTCTCTCAAAATGTAGAAGAATTCATAATAAATTCACAGATAAAAGAAATAGAGAATACAATGTTTAAGTAATTCTTAAATCAACGAGCGTTTAACTGATGAATGTTTCAAACAAACAAAAAATGGAATGATGAAAGGATTTCTTACTTGAAATTCACTAATGACCAAGTAGTCAATAGTAAACTTTATAAATTAATATTCCATAAACCGGATCTTTTGTTTGAACCGGCTATCTAACTATTCACCTATTAGTTTTATGATTTGTTTGTCGGTTTGAACATTTATAAGTTTATATAGATTTTATGTAGACATCATGATTAGTAGTTTTATCCTTTTACATTTAAAAGACTATATTATTTTAAATAAGTTCATAGTCTAAACGACCTGGAACAAAGGCTTTTTACACCGATGTTTCTTAAATGGTTTTTGTGTTTTGTTTTGATTCAACATAAATGATATTGTCTCCAAATCCACTTAGTGATCACTTGGTTGAATATACTATTAAATGTACATAGTGATAATTGAACTTAAACGAACGCAATTTTGATAGAGTATTTTTGTTTGTTAAAAAAAGCGGAAATAATTGGTAAAACACTAATTTTAAAAAAAAATCTAAAAAAAAATTGCAGTTTATGATTTATGCATTTTGAAAGACGAATGAAGTTTGCTAGGAATATTCAAGCAATATATTTTGGCACCCTCAACATCAAGTATTTGAAGTCACATAGAAACTCAAGTTTCTACATGGTTCATTGACATTGTGTGAATAAATCTCCCATATACTGTTGACACTGAATTTTATTTTTACAGGTAACATCATAGGCTAACGCTTTGCACTCTAATCTATGTTGCTACATATTTAAAATGTTGGAACATTTCAGTATGGTGAATGTTTTTGAATAGACTCTATAGCTTTCAATAAATATTGGGCAGTAGTTGAAATTCAGTATTTTAGTAACTAACAATTTGTTACTATAAAATGTCTTATCCAGTTATTATTGTCTGTTAAAAAATGTTAACAACCTGTCATTCAAATGTAAACAGCAAATGGATTGTGAATTTAACTAAATCTATCATTAGTTTTCAGTGTATTCTGTTTAAACAAAATCCAATCAGTTCTATTTAATCGATTTACAATATGAATTTCAATGACAATGTTAAGTAATTACAACTACTCGAAAAATATAAGCACTACAAATTAGTCAATCGTTTTTATTCTTATTAATACATTTACAATGTTATAGTGATATCAAACAGTAGAAGATAAATGATTATTCATTTTCACATATCTTTCTGTCATGAGCTAACGTAATATTTTTGGACGATCGATAAATGAAGCCTTAAGTCATTCAGTAGTCCATTATTCAGTTGATCACGAGATTAAAATTAACGATAGCATCCTTCACTTACAGTTACCCTTTTTATTAAGTTTATATTAATTCAGAAAGAAAGATAAACAAAGTTTTTTGAGTATATGAATATTGGTAAACTGTACTCCAAGTCATTTTTAGTATTCAAGGTTGCAAATAATACATTTACAAATTTGCAAACAAATACAACTTATATCATATCGATTTTATTCTGTGACATCAGTTTTTATTACATCATTGAATGTACTGGAAGTATTTGAAGTCACACAGAACTTAAGTTTCTACATGGTTCATTAACGTTGTGTGACTAAAACTCCCAATCATATCTATTTCTGGTTGTCTAATTATTAAGTGTTATTTTCACAGATTGAACTCATGAGTCAGTTAAGCTAGACACATTGAAAACCTGGAAGCACTGGACGGCGTTTCGTCCTAGTATGGGACTTGATTAAAACATATTGTTAGCGGACATAGACTAGATTAAAGCATGCTCAATGCATGATTGCTTTGGTGCACGCTGATTGGCTAATTCTTACCCAATCAGCACTAGCCGATAGTTGGAGAACACTCTGGAATCTTCTTATGTAAAAACTATAAATATACTGACGTTTTCTCTATTGTGCTTCTGACTTGCTATTGGAATATAATCTCTTTCCTGTTCAACCGTGTTCTGATTTGGGTCTTGTCGAGTGAATCGGTGTCCAAGGATACTAAGCAATAGGAATAGCTGGGTCATAACCGTAAGAAAAGCGATTTATAACACATATGCTCAAAAATTTACTGATGTTTGTTGTGAAGGCTTATGGAGACTAACTAAATTTATAGGCTGTATTCGTTACATACTAATCTCAGTCAGGATACCATTGAAAACCATAGTTCACAGTACAGCTGTTTTTTCTTTGTATGCATTCTTAGTAAGACATGGCTGTTTTGTCAGTATAATTTAATACACGAATTCATGGTTTAATTGGCTAGCTCAAAGTTTATCAAATATCTATCGTATCATAATGAGTTATAACAACATTCAAGAAATAATCACATGTATAACTCAAGAAGTCGATCATTACATGTAGGTTAAAGTAACTTAGAGTAGAAAATTGAAAATTAAATTCTATAGTCACAGTATAAAAAGTTTTTCAGCACAACTAGAATCCACATAAAACCATATTCCATTAGTTCAATGAGTGAAGCACCAGCCCAGTAATATGAATTTCTGATATTTCATCTAAAAGCAATAAAGATTTTCTCTTGACTTTCTCATTGCTTTTTCATTATCTTCAAATTGAACATTTTTCGAAAGGTTCAAGTCACACTGACTGGTAACTAAATAATAACTACTTAAGTGTGACAGTGGCTTAAGCACGTGACTTCATGTGATTTAAAATCATCATTAGAAAGTCATTTACCTTATGATCCAGCAATTTTCCTCTTATAAGAAACATCTTAAATCTTTGAAGAGCTAGTGTGTCTCATTGGTTTTCACCCCATCTGCTTCATCAAACAAATAATTTTTTTCAATTTAACAGTTGAATTCCTGAGCTCATTGAAGCTAGATCACTAGAGCGAACCTGGAAGCATTAAACAGCCGTTCCGTCCTAGTATCGGACTCATCGGCAATGCTCATCACAATCCCACACTGCGAGTTTCGAATCCAGGACCTATCGGTATCGCGCGTGAACGCTTAACCTCTAGACCACTGAGTCGGTCGACATCCAACAGTATTAATTCTAACTTCAACTAATCCAATTTTTCAAATGTTGATCAATATCAACTGACTTGCCCAAACATGACTTTTAACAATTATTATTATTAGTTTTAGATAATCCATTAATAAAAGCTTCATGTCTTAATCAAATTCATTGTAGTTAACATAACAAGATTATTTGAATATAGGTTTGTCTACCTAAATGATAAATGAATGATGTTTATATGCATTAGTACAAATGAAATATCACATAGTTGACTTGATTGGAAAAATAACAGACAACCTGTGTAAATAGATAACTGATATGTACATGTATATATAACTAGATGATCTATTAAGCTATATTTCTTTTAACTTAAAACTTTGAACATAAATCATATTAGTTCATATGTTATTGTGAATTTTCCAAATATATGGATCATCATTAAATATTATAACATATGATTTGATTTGATAATAAATATCTTTATTTTATTAGTTTCCCTGGGTCATTCAGATAATAAATTGAATTCGTAATTATTGTTAATAATCCTATAAAAGAGTTACCAAGTTAAAAGATTCAATAATACGAAAGAAAATCAATATTGTAATTGTTTATTGCTTTTAATTACATTACCAAAAAAGATTACATAACTATTATGTTTATGTAGTATTTTGAATCATGGATACTGAGCAATTTATTTTCTTTATATATATTATATATATATATATATATATACAGTACTTATTTGTTTAATTTTCTAAATGCTCATAACGACTGTAAAATAATTAAATTGATCCATTCTATTCTTAGTCTCATTCTGATTGGTCAATTTCATACTTATAAAAGATTAAAGATTGTTGTTAATTTAAGGCTAAAATACTTGTGGGATCATGGGATTATGGGATTTTTGTTTGTTTGTTTATTTTAGGGTTTAATTAATTGTTTTCATACATTGTGAAATGTTCATTTCATTTTACTACACTGAAAAGATTGTGTATATGATTGTTGAGTACACTAATAACTTCTTTTGTTGATCACAGTGTGATTATGAAACAAAAATACATTTTGGATAATGATCAATTCATACTTTTCATTTATATGCTATTCTTGATAAAATTTTTCGATAATGTTGACAGTACAAGACAACCTTCTTTTGATCCTTGATACATTTAAAATATTTTAATAAGAATGTAATTTCATTCTATTGTCTAATATACCGTTGTGGTGTGTGCTACTTATGTCGACATAAGTAGTATGTGACGATAGTCTGGATTAGAGTGTTTGGCATCAGAAGGTCAAGAAGAAAAGAATGGGAACAGAGAGTAATTCGTATGAAAATGCAGGAACAATAAACTCTGAGACGATTGACTGAAATTTGCAAAAGGAATAGTCAATTTTGAGA